CACTCAAACACTCAAACACATGCTAACCCTATTTTTCATCTGAGAAACTGCCAACATGCATTTTAAACCAAACCATTGGCTAGTTAACTACTTCTATCAGCCAGTTTTTCTTCACTCAGTACTTTGTTCCAAACCTAGTGAACTATCTACCTAAAAAGCATTTTAAAGCAACAGGTGTGCAACAGATTTCAAAAGGTAGCCAGCAACATTATGCAGCCTTCTAAGATAATATTTAGCAAAAACCTAAGGCACCATTGCATGTGTTCTTCAAAGGGCCTGTTTACGCCTAGTCACTTCATGCGTTCTCTCTGATCGGATAGCTATCCAATCGGGAAAAGGCCAGGTGTAAATACCCTCTGAAACGCTTTTGGAATCAGATCCCTAATCACTTCAGAAAGTAGTCTGAGACGCATTCCAGACGTAACTGAAATAGTGTAAATGCATGTGGTTGTTAAAGCCACATGTCAATTTTGAGTATCTCTTTAGCAAGCCGCAATGGCAAACTGCCACAAATGAAAATGAAAGTCTAGGGGATAGGCTACTAATACTGTGGAAGTCAATAGGGACCATCAACTGTTTGGTTACCCACATTCTTCAAAATATCTTTTGTATTCAGAATAACAAAGAAATACAGGTTTGTAACAACTTGAGAGTGAGTACATATGACAGATTTTTCAGTTTTGGGTGAACGATCCCTTTAAATGAATTAACTTGACTCATTTGGTTTCACAGTGTACTTTGCTTACTGCTTTTCATCTACTAATATTGTAGAGATGTAGGCATATTCAGATGCGGGGAAGAGATTGGCTGGTTAGCATGATCCATGAAATGGTTAATAGATATTTACAACATGCACTAGCGATACTTCTTTAAAAAACATAAAGAAAATGGCTGACCCCAAACGTTTGTATGTGGCTAATATTTCAGAATATAATTCATGATGGTTTACCAGTGCCTGGTTCTTTTTCTTTCTTTTTTTGGAGAGCATAAAATGGACTGTGCACCTTCTGGTGGTGCCATCAACCACTTAGTTGAGTGAGATAATGTATTATGTATTCTCCAGGTATTATAGACCGCCTTGGAGGAGCATTGTTTTTGTAGAGCATTTCAAATCAGGGTGTCTTTTCAGTTAAGATATTGACATAGTCGGTAGATATAACCAGCTCACAGGTGCAACTTTACACACTTGACTCATTCACCCATATTCACACACGTAGGCCTACACCAAACTCTCTGTAGGCAATCCAAAACAATCATCCATAATCTTTTCTGAAAGCATGTTGAATAACACTAAAACACGCCACGGTACATTAAAGTCAGTTTTTTCCTCGAGGGCTCAGTCAACATTCGCGTACATAAATGAACTTGTGGTTACCGACTCTTATCTGGGAGGATCAATTGATTAGGTAATAAATCAGTCAACCTGTGCCCTAGCTTTCCCCCGCACCGAGCGTTTTGGGAGAGTCAGCCCAGCCCTGCAGCCAAAGAAGCGCGGCGCGGCGCGGGCGGGGGCGCGGCAGGTGGTGGGTGCCGTGAGGTAACAGGAAGGGCTGGGCCACAGGTGAGAGAGGGAAAGACAAAGCGAACGGCAAGAGAAAAAACAGTAGGATCGAGGAGGAGGCAGAGTCAGACGGAGAGAGAGAGAGAAACAGGAATGCAGAAACTCCCTAGGCAGCGGCGCAATCCTCTGGAGAGAGAAAAAAGGAATTTTTATGTGCTGCAGGTGATCAGGGCTCGACACGGAGGGGGGGGGGGGGGGGGGGGGGGGGGAGAGAGGGGGGGGGGGGATGGGAAAGGATGGGCGAGGATGGGAAAGAAAAACTGACGAGGAGCTGCGGAAGAAGGCGAAAAGACAGAATGAGAATGGAGGGAGCTATAAAGATGGACTAAATAGGCTGCTGCTGACGACCTGATGACAGACGAGTGATTTAATGCGTGATTGGCAGTGGAGATTTGCTCTCGACCTGCTGCACATATGGCTGAAAGATAGAGGCAGACGCGATGATGGCACGAGATGAGAGGCGTCGGAAAAGGGCCTTTTAAAGTAAAACAAATAAAACTACTTTACAGTCGCGCAGATGCATAAACAGTCTCCCGCGCTGATTCAGTGACGCGACACGTGATGACACACACACACACACACACACACACAGGCGCACAATGCGGCCTTTGTTGCCGATGTGTGGTCATCCATTTAGGGGCCGAAGCCGACTGGACTCTGCATTACGCATTTCGCTGAGTCGTCGGCCATGTGTGTGTGTGTGTGTGTGTGTGTGTGTGTATGTGAGAGAGAAAGTGTTCCCTTCTCACAAAACTCATGTTTTCCCGTAATTTGTGATAATTACACATAAAAGAACGTCACACCCGTGTGTGTGTGTGTGTGTGTGTGTGTGGGTGTGGGTGTGGGTGTGGTTGTCCCGTGATAACTCCAGTGCAGGTGTGTTGCTCAGAGGTAAACACAAATTATCATTGATCCTTTAATTTTACCCCAAACATAGCCTGGGGAAAAGAAACATTAAGCGTCTGAACTTTCGTTAATTTGATTATGTTGTACTGTGATGTTTGTGCCATAAGTCAGTATGACATGTGACATTTTGTTTTTATCTTGTGTATGTACAGTATGTGTGTGTGTACTTACATGTTTGGGGACATATTTGTACCCAGAAATGAGCTAAACCTGATAAAAACCTACCAACCTTGTAAAAATTACTTAAACGAATTATCCATTAAAAAATAATAACTGTTAGGTACAATATACTTATTGTGTTCATATTGCAAAACACTTCTGCTTTTTTGAGCTCTGATACGGTTAAGTTTAGGGACAGATTGTTGGTATGGGGACGTTTAATGGTTTAATGGAAGGCCAACAATGGGTTACACTTTATTTTAAGGTGACGTTGTTACATTGTACTTACTCAAATAAGTACTGAGTAATATTAATTAACTACATGTACTTACTATAGAGGTATGGTTACGGTTTGGTTTAGTGTTAGTTACTTGTAATTATGCATAATTTACTGTTAGTAAGTACACAAAGTAATGTGTAACTGTAAAATAAAGTGTTACCCAACAGTGTATGGAATTGCAGAAATTAACGCATGTATTTTTAAAATACAAAAACATGTATGTACACAATAAGTGCATTGTTTCAAATTATTAATTAAAATCTTACTACAGTCACTTAATATGAAGTGGGGCCTTAACATAAAAACAATAGAAGTCTATGCAGTGTTCCCATTTAGATAGTGAAGTAAGTGTGTGTGTATGTGTGTGTGTCAGTAGGTGAGCGCTAGGGAAGAGGAGAGGCGTGAGAGAGAGATAGAGGGGAAGAGAGGGATGAGAGGATGTGGGATTACATGAAAGAATGGAGTGGTCATAAATTTCGCTCAGACAGACGAATAAAACTCGCTATCCTTCCAGTCCCTCTGGTTTTTCCTCAAGGGGTAACAGTACACACACACACACACACCCAAAGTGTAGTCAGTAAAGGTCTTTTGTACTCTGAAAAAAACATGTGACATCATAATGTCATGCCCCAGAGAATAAATAGTATTAAATAAATATAACAGACATATACACACATACAAAAATGTACAGACTGAACACAAACACTCATATTTATACACCCTCTCATCTGCATTAGAACTCATTTTCATGTTTGTAGAATCCCTTATCTATTAAAAAAAAAGCTCTGTGGTGGTAACATGGTAAAAGAATGGTAATACTATAGTATATTATGGGACTGTATGACTATCATATTTATATATAGTGGTATTTATATTAAATTCAAAGAGTTCCATGGTGTGCCTTGTCAAAAAACATACCATGGTACTGACCGATTGCCATGAAACTATGTTAAAAATCAAATCCCATGGTAGTTTATATGGTACTGAAACTCCTGCACCAGGGAATTTACATGGTACACCAAGAATACCATGTTCTCCACAAAAATATGTCACATTATGGTACTTTTTGTGCTTTTTTTGTATCACTGGAGTATCATGTAAATGCCATATATTATTATATACTCCGGTATTTCCCTAATACCCCAATGAAACTTCAAGAATACTGTTATCTTTTTTAAAAATGGGAATACTGTTGTACTGAATGATTACCATATTCACACACCATAGTATTTACATAGTACTTCACATTTCCCTAAAAAATACCATGGTATTACCATTCCAGAAAACTCAGTATTATCATGGTATCGTGCCAAGAAACATAGTAATACTGTGGTACTTTGATATATACCATGGTACTGAATTATTACCACATTCACGTACCATGGTATTTACATAGTACTGCACGTGTCTACAAAAATCACCATGCTATTCTCATTGTACATTTCTAGAAAACAGTATTACCATGGTACCATGCCCGAAAATGTTATAAACCTTTTTGAATAATATACTTTCATGGTCACTTTTCTGTTCGTACACACACACCATCTGAGCATCAAATTTGTGCATTTGTTTCCAAATGTGTGGGTGTGTATTTGTGTGTGTCTGGAAAAAGACGAGTCAGTGTCAATGAGGCATTACTGACTCAGTTTTTGAGGCAGCAAAAAATCTCCATTGTCTCTTTAGTTATGCCACATTTCCTCCACTTTGCCCATTGACCCTTTCACTACTGCATGACTCCAAACATGATTCACTTTCCTTCTGCTGAATCACGTCTCGCTCTCTCAATGAGCGCTCTCTTCCCTTTGTCTGTGACGTACTGGCGGCTCTTTTCTGTTTGGGGATTTAGTGCAAAGCGTGACCATCTGAAGTCCTTAGATCTCCATCCATAGAGCCTGAATCAATCTGTTTCACACACACTTCTGTTCTGTTCCAAAACCTAGTGAGCTGCTTCCACAGGCAGCATTTTAAGGCATCATATCCAAGCTCCTGACATGGACGACATTTGGTTTTGACCAAAGTGAGGCAGCATTGCATCTATCCTAGTGAATCATCTATCCTCGCCTAGTGAAAAAAGTGAATTAAACATGGGGCTGAAGCATTAGAAATCTCGATTAAAACATATGTATGTTTCATTCAATGTTGAAAAGTATCAAAAGTTCACAGTAACTGCCTGCCTGACTGTTTTACCCAAAATGTATGCATTTTGTGCTTTTTATTCTGATTGGAGTGTCATGTTGGTAGCTTAGCAACAAGCTATCATCAACCTCTGTTGGAATCAGTTGGATCATTCATTTATAAGGCTTCAATCATCCTTGTTAAGATGCTGTATGCCACATTCACTGTTGTCCGGCATATTTTTGCGGGTGAAATCCAGTCATTTCAATAGGAATCCATGCAATTGGGAATTTTGCATCAATGCAAATTTCGCAACAGGTTCTAGTTGGTCATGTGAATTTGCAGAGAACTGCTAGGTCTGAAAGTGACTTCTGTGTGAGCTGTCCTTCATACATCGCTACACTATTGTCAATAGACAACCCTTTTTTGTCCATGAAATTTCACCAATGTGACCGCAAGTTGTTAGAGGGCAGCGAGGCAGCTCACTAGGTTTTAGACCAGAGCCTTTGTTCTCTCTCAAGCGCGTAGCCGTTTCTTCAGTCTGGTGAAGTCTTTCGCGGATCTCCACAGCCAGCTCTGCAGCTCCCGCAGTACCCAAAATCCTTCAACTTTCCGGGAGAAGTCATTAGGAGTGGGATGTGATGACATCACAGGGGCCGCCAGCAAAGCGTGAACCTCAGCGGCCGGCCCTCCGTACTGATAGAGGAGCGAGAGAGGAGAGAGACCAGCGTGACGAGGCGGCAGGGAACGGATAGATCGACGAGGATGGAGGGATGGTGAGGAAAAGAGTAGGGGCTGCTTTCGGTATCCGTCTCCGACTTTTAAAGTTGTGTAGTTCATGTTGTTCAGTTTGATCATTTTCTCCTCTTCCAAGCTCAGCAGTCTTCTCCTTTTCCCCCATCTCTCCATTCCTTCCTCCTTCTCTCCCTCCTCTTTGGCGACCCAACTCTCTCCTTCTTTCCTCCTCCCTCTCCTCCTACGCTCCCTCTCCCTGTCCCGCTTGAGATCCGCCCGAGTCGTTCCCTCTCTCACACCGGAGGCGGTGTGAGCGCCTTTGTTTCGAGGCACGTAACTCCGTAGAGGGGCGGGGCTGTTCTCGCTCACGCCCTGAAACTGTGACGACATGGGTGGGGCGTATCCTTGAGCGGGCGTGGCGTATCCTGTGGAGGGCGGCAGGTTGGTGTAGCCCAGGGCGTTCATCAGGCCGGATATTGAGCCGAGTAACCCGCTGAGGCCGGAGCAGAAGTGCAGGAGAGAGCTCTGGAGGTACGGGCACAGGGTGGAGCGCGCCAGCTCCCTCACGGCACACAGGAGAATGCTGTACGCCCGCTGGTTCTGTGCCAGACGGGCACCGTTCTCCAGCCCGCGCCACAAGTCCACGCGTGTAGCTGCACTGGGCACGGACAGAGAGGAGCTGTTGGGACGTGGAGGAGAGAAGCCGGGATCACTGAATGGAGGCCCAAGATACGACAGCTGAGGACCAGAGATGAGGAGAGATATTTAGAAAACAATTACACTGATTCTGTCAGGTTTTAGATGTCCCACTTCAAGACCCCATGAAATCAAAATTGCATGTTAGTGCACTCTAAAATAAAGGTACTTCATTGGCATTGATGGTTCCATGACGAACATTTAACACTTTCCATTGCAGAAAATGTTATTTATCGTGGACATGTTCTTTAGATTATTGAAATATTATTATTTTAAGGACTGATCACTATAAGGTTCTTTAGGGAACCCAAAATATTCTTGAAAATGAAAATTCCATTTTGGAACCTATATTTTAGGAGTGTGAGAAGATTCTGTCATCATTTACTCACCCGCAGGTTGTTCCAACCCTGTATGAGTTTCTTTGTTCTGCTGAACACAAAGGAAGATATTTTGAAGAAAGTTTGTAACTAGGCCACTTTAGGGCACCACTGACTTCCATAGTAGGAAAAAAAATACTATGAAAGTCAATGGTGGCTCAGAACTGTTAAGTTTCCCACATTCTTCAAAATATCTGTGTTCAACAGAGCAAATAAATGCATAAAGGTTTGGAACAACCTGAAGTGTGTAAATGATGACATATCTTGAATTTTTGGGTGAACAATCCCTTTAAATATTACATACCATCTGCTTCTGACTAGAAAGTAGCAAGTCACGGTATGCTGGTATGTTTTTGTTTAGTTGGCCAAAAATGTATATTCTCTCATCATTTACTCACCCTCATGTTGTTTCAAACCTCTACGACTTTCTTTATTTTGTGAAATGGTATCAATGGAAACCAAAAACTTTCTTCAAAATAATGTTCCACAGAAGAAAGAAAAGTTTTGCAACAACATGAGGGTGAGTCAGTAATGACAGAATATTCATAATTTGGATGAACTATTGGAACTTTGGATGAAATAGAATATTGAAAAAGAAAACTTGGTTCTATATGTACTTGGTTACTTGGTTCTATGCACTCAAAAGTGGAGGCAGATGAACGTGAGCATGCATGGACGGGTTTAATCGTCTAAATGATATGAGAAGTCCTGCATAGTTCACCAGGAAGAAAATTAAACATACACACGGATTAATTATTCGCATTACGAATTATAATATACATTTAGAAAATAGGGTGAATTTTCATTTCATGCTATATTTAAGCTAACTAAAGGATATTGACTAGGTAATATGAAAAGGACATGCCCTGGTGTGTCCCACCCCAACTTCCTGTTTCAATAGCTGTTTCATTAGCAAGTAAACACATAAACACAGTTAACAAAACTACTATCAAAACATTTAAAAGGGTCTTTATACACCATTAGCTGGCAAAAGTTAGGTCAGTTACGAGATACTAGAAAAACAGCTAATTATAAAACTAGAGCATGTATCACAATACAGTCAAGAAGAGGCAAAAGAGATAAAAAAAGAGCGAGAGCATCCAGAGGAAAACATCTATAAACAAAAACGTCATTCATCGCCACACACTGATAAAACACACACAGATTGTGACTCACGTAGGTGTCTCTGATCTCCTTCAGCTGGTGGTCCAGGTATTTGGTCAGCTCGTATGTCCTCTCTATCGAGCTCCTCTCATTGGACAGCATGAGTGTGCGGTCCAGTGCATGAACACACCCCACCAAAAACAGCAGTACAGCAACCTCAGCAACTGGAATACAAAGCAGAGAAAACAGGGATTGAAGTCCCGTGAAAAAGCACAAATGACAATTTAATGTCCAATTCTCTTGTCTGGTTATTGTCAGTGCATTAGTAAAAATGCACTGTAAAACAAAAAAGTTGCTGCATTCAAATTTTTAAGTACAATCAACTTGGATGTTTAAGGCATTTCAAATTAAATTACGTTAAACTGAATAAAAGACGAGTTGAATCTTGTATAACTGAAAATTGCTTAAATTATTTTGATGAGTGAAAACACATGCTGTCATAACGTACTGATCACATAATTTTTTACAGTGTAATAAGTTTGTTATTTCTCAAATAACACAAATGAAGACTGTGATTTTGTTTGAGGAATAACATGAAGCAGAGAAAATCTGTCTGTAATCAGCTCTGAATAAATGTTTGGTTTATATGAGTTCACAGAGATTATGGTGCGTCATTTTTGTAATATAGTGGTTTTAACTGTAATTCTTTTGAGGTATTCAGAATTAAACAGTTAGTTTTATGTTATACTTTGATTATAGAGATTACAATTTCATGCGGATATGTCTGGCACTGCTTCTGCTACTGGCCTCTGGTACAGTTTGTTTGAAGAGAGAGAGAGAGAAGTTCTGCATAGGATTATTAAAGGGATTTGTGTTCATACTGAAGCGGGCCATAAAAGGTTGAAATAAATCTTATATACAGTATATTACACCGATATGTTTTCATATATCTTTACAGCTAAAATGTCCCTTACTGCAATATTTTAATGCATTAAATTCAGCATGAAATTAAATTCTTTCTTTCTTTCTTTTTTGACCTTGTAATTTTTAACCAAAATGTCATAACCCAATCTTATGGTGAGCCCTCCCCCCACATTTCATTTTTTTTTTTTTGATAATTAATTTCAGTCAGATGTCACAATACAGAAGAAATGATCCGTTTCTGTTTCATCATTTATGAGATTTTTTTATGATACACTGTAAAAAGTGATCAGTTGACTTAAAAAAACTTAATGCGTAATTGAAAAAATTAAGTTACGTGAACTTGACAATTCCACATAACTTATTTTTTTCAATTACGCATTAAGTTTATTTACTTAATCATTTTAAGGTAATGGGTTTCCTCACTTTTTTTAAGTTAAGTCAACTGATCACTTTTTACATGAACGTATATTTGAACACAATCCATACTTAACATTTTCCTTAAGTCAACCCATAAATAACAAAACTTCAAAGCAAGTTGCAATTAAATAACACTAGAGATTCCAAAAGGTTTTTTTTTTTTTGGTTTTGCAGAAATGTCACATAGGAGAACCATTTTCAGTTTCTCAAAGAACCGTTCAATGGACATGTCTTAACGTTCAAACATAAATTGTGCATTTTTTCATTTCACTGCGCTATTTTTCCATTGTTCTTCAATGTAAACATGGACATGTTTGACCATTGTATGCTACGCTAGTCAGCTCAAATATACACAAAATTTCTCCCATGACACGGCATTAAAAAAATGTTAAACGCATTCTGTGTGAATTAGCCCTAAAAGAGAATATGCTATGCTTGCAGAGCTAACCTAACTTTCCTGAGCTATTTTTTGCAAAAAAAATTGTTTGTCAATCAGAAAGTGTCAATAAATGTAGTCATCATTTTCAACCATTTATCTATAGTTTATCATTTGACAAATAGCACAGTACTTTTGTGTGTGTGTGTGTGTGTGTGTTTGAGCTCAAGGGTGTAAGTGTGTGTGGTCCTCTACTCTGGGACATGTTTTTGTTTTGGAGTGTGTTTGTAGGTTTCTGTTTTGGATTATGTGTATATACATGCCTGTACACAGACCAGTGCATTTGTTACATTTGGTATGGTGCGTGAGTGTGTGTGTAAATGTGCCCATCCAGAGGACCCTTTTAGACCAGTGTCCTCAGAAATCACGCTGGGAAAATGGCAGCAAATGAGAATGAACCTCGGACTTCGAAAAGGGTCACACAGTGCTCCTATTATGTGTGTGTGCGAGCCTCAGGGAGTCATCCGGCCCAAACACATCTCAGTGTCTCTGTTCTTTTTCTTTTTTGTGTTAAGCATTCAGAGGAACATGGCAGAGATGTGTAATTACTTGTTTGAGGCATTGTGTTTTCAACAGGTGTGAAATATGTGCACCTCCTCCCCTTTGCTTTTCCTTTTTATCTCTGTTCGTCTCCTCTTCTTGAACCCCCCATCATCCCCGTTTTTTCTCAATCCTTTCTTCTCCCGGCTCTCTTCATCACGATCACGCGTTTGTCTCGCTGTCACACATTGTTTCTCTCTCCTTCCCCTCATATTCCTCCTGTCAAGTTTTTTAGCTTCTCACACACACGCCTATGTTTCCTCCCCTTCTTTAAAGTGGTTTATCTCTTTTTTGCCCCCGGCCAAAATAACAACAGCTTATTAACCTCGATTAGCCCAGCCAGTTTTTCTTTTCAACTCTGTTCCTCTCTTTTTTCTCTCTCCCATTCTTTCCACTCTAATTCACTCATTCTCCTTCAAGAGGGAAGAATTCTCATGAAACGCTCATCTAAAACGCTACCTGAAACGCACACACAAACACACACACTCCTGACACACCTTTTCCTCAACCCAAGGTCACAATAATCGTCAAAGTCTTTCAGGAAGATAAGTCAGGAGTGAAAGAGTTCAGCAGTGCATCTCAGATGGATCCAAAATGCTGATCCAACATAATCGGCTTATTGAAAACATCAGATATTGAATCATGTTTCTGTGTGTTATAGCAACATATAAGAAAAGAGATCCACTAACATCATCCATTAACGTCTTATAAACACTGACCGACATCTTATTCTTATTATAATTGTCTTTTGTTCCAACAAATAACTGGATAAGAGTACCGTGAGGAACATTTTATTGCTCCAAGGTTTCTCTTTCAGAGCTCAAGAGATGTTTTTAAAGCATTAACATTGACTCAAATGTTTTATATTTCCGAGGACTAATAGTGATAGACAATTGTTATTGTACAATATATAAATAACGGTTCTTTATGGCTTTGATGGTTGGTTCCATGAAGAACTTTCCATCGCACAAAAAAAAAAATGTTCTTTTAAATATGGTTATTTGTGAACCAATGACAGCATCTTTTGGAGTCTTTCTTTTTAAGAGTTTAAAATATTGAAGCTTTAAAATAACGTCTGACATTAGAATTTGATCAAAATATTTGAGTTTATATTGAGATCTCAAAATTTTTAATGCAGACTTTGGTATCTTGGCTTCGAGAGAAACTCTAAGAAACATACGGGTCTCTTTCTCTGGAAAAAAAATTGGAGAAGATCTCGATATCGAAGAGATCTCGTTTTCTCTCTTTCCTGTGAAAGTAAAGGCGCCACATATAGTACTAATAACATCATTATTATGATATCCATACTTCAAAAGAAAAAACATGAGTGGGATTTGCCTGTACAAAAGTCCTTCGATGATTGTCGCCGGGCAGAAATCGTAAAAATCTGATTGCTTAGAAAAGCAACATCACAAATCTCCTCAACAATCAGCATGATTTGACATCACGGCGTTTAATTCCTATCCATATGCATTTGAGCAATAATAATAGAGATGTTTCTCAGCAAACAATTTAACTCTCTGTTGATTTGTGAACTGCTGTTTTTCTCATGGCATAGTAGATATAATCGAGAATCACATGAAGAATGTTGTTCTCTCTTATTGCTTATTTGGATGTAAGCACAACAGCTCTAAAACAGAGCACTGGCATATTTACATAACCCCAGAAACAAATCCCCCGCGACTTTATTGAATAACCACGGCTTTCATTAGGACAGATCTCTCTCTCTCTCTCTCTCTCTCTCTCTCTCTCTGTGTGCGTGTGTGTCTTTGCAAAGAGCCTACAGCTGGCAGCAATGATATGATGTCAAATCGGTATATCAGTCAGTTGCACTGTCTTTCTCTCTGTCTCACACACATGCACACGTAGCCTCTCGCCTTCCATCTTCTGACTGATTTGTTGCCTCTGTGTTAACACTAAACAGACGAGTCTTGGAGGCTCCAGTCAACAATACCAAGAATTCAGCATTATGGTGCAATATCATAAAACATGTTCCCTTCTATCACATCATATAAAGTTATATTGCCCATATGATGGGCTGGTCAGTTCAGTGCACAAAGAGCCTAGTCTTTCATATTCATGAGCGAGTGTGTGTTTGTGAAAGGGGTCAGGGTCATGTTGTGTGTCTGTGTACAGTTAAAGTATAGAGATTTATGTGCCGTCTGCACTCAATCAAACGTGCATTCCTTCACTGACTAGACACACACACACACATATAAACTAACATGCAGGGCACTCAGAAGGATGTTAGAATATAAATGCATCCGTTACATGCATGATGGACATCAATTGTTTCTAGATACATCAAACCAGGTTTCACTCGCTCGTTCACACACTTGCTCTCCGTGATCTCTACAAGGGGACATACACTCCTCAATCTCCCCGAGGATACTTAGTTTGAAATTTAAATTGATGGAAGTTGGCCTCAAACGTTGCCGGCTTTGCCAAGGACCTTCAGAACAAAGCAGGAATGGACAATAAAACCTGCGTTAACAAAAACCCTCACGTTCCTCACATCTTTTTTCTCATGGTTTTTTTTTTTTGTCTCTTTTTTTTTTCAGTCCAATTCGGGTGCACTTTGTAATTACCTTTCCTTTTTTCTCTCTTGCTTTTTTTAATTATCTCTTCCCTCCCCCCTCACCATTTCCCCATCTCTCTGACTCAAGTTTCTCATTTAACGTCGCCCAAAACGACCCGCTCTTGAAAATAAATATAACTAAATGAAGAGCAACTATCTGCACGTCCAATCTAGAAGATCAAATATGGAAAGAAAGAGATGGAAGGAAAGAAAGAAAGAAAGAAAGAAAGAAAGAAAGAAAGAAAGAAAGAAAGAAAGAAAGAAAGAAAGAAAGAAAGAAAGAAAGAAAGAAGTGGGAGAGAGAAAGGGGCTTGGTGAAGCGAGGGGCCATGTTAATTTGGGAAAAATGTAAACAGCATGTGTAACTGTTCAAACCGTGACCAACTCATTTTATATCATTCCCCTGTGCTCGCTCTCTCCTTTTTCTTTTAGAGGGAATCTGGGCTGTGTTAACCCTCTTTCCTTTCCTCCATCACTCCGTCTCTCTCTTTCTCCTTAAGCCCTGCACTTCCTGAAGCTCTTCATCCCTCTACCTCGCTTATACATGCTCTCTCTCTCTCTCTCCTCCCCAAAAACCCACTGTCTTGTCCGCATCTTTGCGTGGATTAAAATGCAAATGCATGGGGCGCTGTGACATGTTAACGGTTTGGGGCTTCTTTTTTTCTGAAACCATCTGTGTGAGTTTGAGTATATTTGGCAGTTTGGGCTGTGTGTGATAGATGCATGTATGCATTTGGGGCAAGCGTGCATGTGGGACAAAATGAACTGTAACACGGAAAAAGAGAATGTGTGTGTGTGTGAGCGTGACAGACTGCTCTGCTGCTTTGTTCAGGCGTAAATCGCATCATTTCGTCACACACTCTTCCTCCTTTTCACAGGCTCCCTGAAGACAGGTGGTGTGTATGTGTGTGGGTTTGTGTGTTTAGACCCTGACTAACATGAATCATGTACTTTCTCATATCAGTGTCGGTTAACAAGACAGGGGCGAGCTTGCCCTATGAACCACATGCACTTGAGAACAAGAAGAGAAGCATAACTAGTCTTAGTATGTGCGTGTCCACAGGTTTGGCTATATGCTCATGGGGAACAGAATTATGGAAATGGGGTGAAACATGACAAAAATGAGCGTGTGAGGACATTTCAAGAAGTCTAAAATGCTTTAAATCTTCAGAAATCAACAGGTTTGTGTGAGAGTTTGGGTTTAGGAATAACAGCAGCTCTATTGAGATACTAGCACTAGTTTTTGAGCTTGATACTGATATTTTTGGAAATGCTTTGTAATAGTTAGTAATAAAAAGTCATTGTAGTGTGAAAAAAACAACTTTTGTTTATTAAAAATACCTACTTTAAATATATATATATATATATATATATAATTGACTTATTAGAACAAAATAATCTCTGAACACTGTAAAAATGATATGATAGATGTTATGACAACATATGTTTTTACATTGCTTTAACTCATCAAAATAAGTTTAGCAATATTCAACTTTTTTATAAGTTATAAAAGATTCAACTCATCTTTTAAGTCAGTTTGATGTAATTTAAGTTGAAATGACTTAAACATCCAAGTTGATTGTACTTAAAAATATAACTTTTTTTACAGTGTAGGCCTACACGTGTAATTTCTATAATCCATATTCACTTTCTTTATCATTTAATATGTTTTGTGAAATTCACAACAAACTGGATAAACTCAAATTTATTTAGGCTACTCGTGTTACAACATTGTTTGAAGTCTAATTGTAATCTGAAAATTCCTATTACACGTCAAGTTTCACTGATTTATGCAAATAAAAATAACTGACCTTTAGAGCGACAATTTAATCGATTATTTTACACGAAAAGAAAAGCTATTTCCGAGCTATAAAATACCTTTCGTTAACTTGCTTAAACGAAATTCACTTATTTTGCTGCACTGAATGGCAATGCTTAGGCCTCTCAAAAACAAACTTTCAGGGAATCAATCTTTGAGAGCTTTTGAAATTGTTTTTAGAACAGAAAAGTGTATCACATGCGCAAGCAAACTAAAGATGCATTCACTATATTTTCTCCTTCTGGCGACCTTGCAAACAAATTTAGCAAACATAGGCTATACACACACACACACACACACACACACACACACACACACACACACCCAAACATTGTGGACGCTCCGAAAGTAACAAACAATTAGCCTATATTTAAATAATTATATTTCAAAATAATCTAACAATAATAATAATTGTCAATACCAAAATGAACTGTGAAAAGCCAAAGTCGCTCATCACTTACCTTTCCAGCGACGCATTTTAATTGAAAGGAATCCCCTATTTCCGTTCCAATCCGTTTATTCTTCTTGAGGTTTTGAAGGAGTTTTTGATGAAATAAAAATTACTGTTGTTTTCGTGCGCTGCCCGGTGATTTAGTAAACTCTCCCAGAGCTTTTTTTTCAAACCTGGATTAGTCTGCGCGTGCCTGTAGCGCTATATAAAGAGAAATATATAAAATACCTGTAATGTGAATGTAAAAAAAAAAGAAGAAAAAAAAGTAAATAAATACAGTAGCCTAAATAAAGTCTCAGAAAGTGAGCGCGTGAAGTGATTGACAGCTGTCGGGTGACCGCGCGCGGGCGCGTGCTCTGATATCCAGGTGAGTGTCGATGAAACTGACTGAGTGACTGACTGAAGTGATTTTATACACATGCCTGAGAGAAAGTTCTGTCCCCCGGCCTCTCCTCCTCCCCCAGTCCCTCTCTCTCTCCTCCTCTTCAGTGATTCACTGTTGATTCATCTTCTCTGAAGTGAGGACCCTGCCACGAGACTCTGAAACCACAAAGCTGGGAGGAATTACACTCCTGACAGATATTTCATAATTGTGCCATTTATTTTCTCACCAACAACATAGACAATGTGTTTTTTTTTTTCTCGGATTCGGTGACTCAATTATAATTTGGCATTGAGTTATTCATTGAGAACGGGCAGTGTTTAGACTGGTGTGTTTTCTGACCTAGTCTCGTGCTTGATGTGTGTCATAGCCTACTGTCATTCCTCTGGTATTACCTTTATTGACAGTGAGATTATTGAGATTTGAAATGCTACATGCGTGGGTTATTTCAGAGGTGTGTAAGTGGATAAGCACTTCATTTCACAGGCAACATGACATTAAAAGAACAAGACGGGATTAACATTGTGATTATTGTTGTGAGCCTGTGATGTTTGACTGATCACCGTCCTGGTGTTAGATGTGATGATTCGTGATGCTGCTGGCGTCCTCTGCTGTTTAGCACTGGGATCTTACAGCTCTTCATCATTTAACCATTTTCAAGAAACAGATGCAAATATACAAACACCTTCAGGGGAACATTACAGTTAAATATCATTGGTATGTAAAGTGTCAAATATATCCTAAAATATTATTGTGGCTTTAACTTAAAAAAGAAAGTAACCTTGTCTAAAATATTAAGTTCACTGAAATTAAAAAATTTGAGTTGATACAATGAGGGAGAAAGGTTTAATCAACAGCAACTTAAATTATCTAAATTGAGTTGACAAAAGAAAAAAAAATGTGATAACAAATCAGGAATATATACATATAATATTGTAATATTTTTTTTACAGCGTATTAAGAATCATTTGCAAGAGGATAAAAAAAGACAAGGGATAAAGAGAAAGATAAAGATAAAGGGTTATACATAAGGAAACAACAAGAGATAGAAAAGAGAAAATATATGATTATAATATATAATATGAGAGAAAGCTGGTTAAACCTGAACAGAGCCATTACAAAGGAATTGTTCATATTGTTTCAGGAATCCATCACATTTTGTATTGCTAGTTAGTTAAACTAAAAGTTTTAAGTGTCAATCAGATAATGTGAGAGACTATAGGTGTCACGGTGTGGTGTGGATTGAAGACTCAAAGTCCAAAGGCTCCAATACAAACACGGGCAGACGGGCAGACGGGCAGACGGGCAGACGGGCAGACGGGGAGACGGGCAGACGGGGAGACGGGCAGACGGGCAGACGGGGAGACGGGCAGACGGGCAGACGGCAAAATTTAAAGCAAAATTTCTATAAAGATGATTCTCAACTAAGTTATGAAAGATATAACGAAATGAATTGATACACCATTTTACTTTATGCAATATGTGGGTTAAATGGCCATAAATTAATATTCCCATTCAATGTAATGTATCTATACACTGTATCTAATGTGCACATTAATGTGTTCTTGGAGTAACATTTAATGAAAAAAGAAGTGTAATAATTGGAGTAATAATTAGGAACATTTTAATAATAATATCTAATATTTCATAGGAATATTGATGTATAATTTATTTCCATATTCACTTGTTGTGTCTCCCAAAATGCCTGATAAACATGATTTTAGTCCTGATGTCCTCTACAGTGGACATGAATGAAATCAATGTCCTGTTCTGTAACAGAAAGTCATTTTTTTATTTGAAACCCCACAACGGTTTCCTGAGATGTTGCTTTATGAAATACAATTTGAAAAGTAGTAATTTAAGTTATAATTATAATATATTATCATATTTCCATAAGAGTGCTACATTTGATGACAAAATTAATGTCAGACCTTTTTAAAGACCAAGGAGAAGTTGTTTTCATGGTGAAACTACAAAACATTTGGTATCTCTGAAAAGCCCTGAATGTGCTCTTTACAGGACACCCAGGTGTGACATGTGATGTATGATGTCAAAGAAATTCACTAAAATATAACGTCCACTACAGTGGACAAAAGTCTATTCCTGGGTCCCAGGAGGATATTTGGACACCGTTAAATTATCAGGCCTATATCTAATGCAATATTTTAAAGTGCATCTGAATATAACTAAAATAATGAAAATACATGGATAAAGTTGCGTAGAAAGATTATTTTATCTTTAACTTTTAGGTAGCTAATGTGGTTAGGCTATAAATGGGCATTTATTAAGAAAAAAACTAAAGTCATGTTTATTAAACATTTATTGTACAAAACTATTCAGCATTTAGAAACCCACCCAGTTGCACGTCAAAGATGTAAGGGAAGGGAACGAATACAGACTTTATTTTAATATTCAAGTATTATTATTATTATGTGAGGTTTAATTTAATTTAATTAAGCAGTTTTGTATTATTTCATAGCCTATTAATAACACCTTTTTAATATTAAACGTGTTTTTAATTATATGAGCTTAAATATTTTATTTCGTTAAGTTACAATCAAGGCTAATTATATATGCAGAATAGATTATCTTTTTATAACCACATTTTAAATGTATTTTTACTTTCGAAATTTAAAATATATAATACAATAGTCATTAAAGCAAATTAGTTTTTACGGGAAATATTTTCTGAAAAATATTTTTAAAATGTCAGGAACATGTGAGTGCGGAGTCATGGAAACGCGTGACCCTTCAACACTTCTTCCGGGTTACTGTCTTTCTTCAGAACCCGGAGGTTTGACGCGGGAAACAGGAGAATAGAAGAGCTTGATCATTGCAGTTATTTGTGTTTTCATCAAATTTCTTCAACACCGGGAAACACGCTTATACGTTCATAAAATCGGTCTTCACCCAAAGTAAGTGCTAAATACGTTTGTGTAATGTACTGATGATGATCTTAAATCAAGCCGGCTGAATGAATCTCGCCCGCTCCACATGTACTGCAGTGTGCGAACACTGGTGGTGGTGTCCCAAAACACAGCGAGCTTTCCTACATAGACAGCATGTTATGTCCTCATTAGCGCTTTCGCATCCCCTGAAATTATCTCTAGAATTCAACTGTTAAAACCATAGACTGTAAAAAAAATAGGTTGAAACGCACGATGAACAAAATGCTGTCTAGGTAACGTAACTTAAGCAGCTCAGGAAGTTAGAGACACGACCACTGATGAGGGAGAAACACTAGCAACTCCCATTCTGAATATGATTGGACACACAATACAGCTCGTGAAGAAGTGAATTAAAGCCTTCAGAGCAAGACTAACTGATATCAATCACCTCTTTATGAATGCGTGTTGAATTCGGAACCGCATGTTAGTATACTACTCGTACTACTTTTTAAACCATACATTTCCAATGGTAGAAATAGTACGAGTAGTATGCGGTTCCTGTGTTATTTCTGTGTTGATATTAATATTTATATTTTACAGAGATGGGAGACACTCTGGAGTTTAATGACATCCATCAAGAGTCGAAGGGATCTTGGGTAGGTGACATTAACTTTCACTCGAAGATGGAAAAAAACACACAGCAAACAGTGGAGTGACCCCTAGGTGTCGCAGTTTGACCTTTCACCTCCTCACCAGAACATGGCTGTGTTTAGATTAGAATACTTGCACTCTACTGAATACTGCTTACTATCTCCACCCTAATAAAGCTTCATTTTTGATACACATTTCAAAGGCCTCTAAATTATCAACACGATGAAAACTTTGCTGAAAAATCTGTTGTACACAATCTACTGCCGTCTGTAGTTCATACTTTTTTAGCATACAAAAGGCCTTTTAGTATAATTGTAAAAATGCACATCTTTCAAGATGTGATACATGTGTCCTTAAGCTGTGAAATCTTAAGAAAAACATTTATATTGTTAGTAGTATTTCAAGATGAACACTTACTGGACTGAAGCAACTCCTACTAAATTATCCAGATATCAATTTTTAGAAAAAGCATGTTAAAATGTAAGTATCAAATATGATTTGATTTTGAGGAACGTTTGTTTATTCATCTATCAATCGTCATTATATGTTTTGCCCCCACAGTAAAAACTACAGTGCTTTGATCAAAAACTAAGCATTTAAATATCATTTTACTGAGACATCTAAATAGTGACAACTAACAACTGGTATTTATATGCATTTTATGGAAGTCTGCTATAGTGTTACAAAGATCTCGTTGATTTACATTACAGCCGTTCAGAATTTCGTCAAACTTTTTGGTCCTGTAAATACTGCAGCGAATTGCATATTTTTGCTCAGTTTCGGCCTCTGAATTAAAAGGGTGTGTTTTTTTTTTTTTTTACATTCCTCGAGTGTGGGTTCCATATTCTCACAATCAACAACAAATAGGATATAAAACGTTTTTAAAGTCTTTAATATTTTGTCTAAATGTTCAATAAACTCTTCCAAAATATGAGTTTTCTCACTATTTCATATGTCAGGGTTAAAATCAATACACAGAAGTATGCATTGTGCAGTGTTGCATACATTTGTCAATGCATTGAGACAATTTGCATGCTGTTTACAGCAATAATGTGCCCTTCCAAACACACTTACTCAGGAACCTGCTAGCTTTGTCTTTAGATGGAAACATTGAAGAATGTACAGAAAATATGTAATATACATGCGGTTATTTCACCGTACAGAATAACATCAGAAGCATAGTAAATGATCTATAATTAATTGCTCTCCACACATTTCTTTCTGTCTGTGTTTGTTGTCAGAACGATGGCCGTCTGAGGTTCAGCAAGCAGTCTGTGGTCTATAAAAGCCACAAAACGGGGAAGGTGGACAGTATCCCGGGGCCCGAACTCTCTGCCGCGCAGTGGCGTCGGGTCTGCCTGGGTCACGGGATCAAACTGGTCACCAGCACTGGACACATCTACAAATACGACGGCTTCAAAGACACAGTGAGTGTGTTGGGCAAACAATAGTTGACTGATCAGAGCTGCATATCCATAAAT